CTTCTCCGCAAGGTTTCTTCCTTGGGTGCCACTGTGTTGGCTCTTTTGGCTGCATAAGTCATTCAGATTTTCGCCGCCAGCTGACAGGACTGTTGGATGAAACCCACTTCACCTGGAATGGACGCCTGATTTGAGTGCTTGGTAAACCGTCCGATTTGGGTACTGTTGCGAAGCACATTTTGACCATCCCCCTTCTCTTCATAGTTATTTTTGGAAGCCGCCCAGTTTCCCAAAGTTTGGGAAGTCCATTTGTTGAAGAGAAGGATCCCCTACCGAGCGTGGACATGGGTACGGCTCGAAAAAATGGGTATTTGTCAAACTGGACGGACCCCCCAAACTGGGCTTCGGATTTCCTTTTGGGCTTCCCTTCAAAGGGAACAAGGTGGGTACCCTTCCTCCAGCATAGCAACAGGAGGGTATCTGAGGGTCCCGGTCAGAGGCCGTCCCGAATTGTTGGAGAAAAGAGAATGGGGAGGAGGGGGTACCAACACCCCAACTGAATTCCAAGCCCGACTCCACCCTCTCCAGCACACCTTATGTCGTCGATGGGTTGAGACAAAAGGCGAGCGGAGCCTCCCGATCAGAGAGAGCCGCTCACTGAGCTTGTAGGCCTTATGGTGCAGTTCCGAGTGCTCTGGCAGTTGGTGCAGGGCCTGCTCCACTCCGTGAGCTGCTTGGCACCGAAACTCTGCACATCCACTAGAATCACTGCAGGCGGGAAATAGCGAGAAACATCGGTGGCCCTGGTAAAATCCATACCCCGGTAAATCGGTTAGAACAAAACATCTGAAGTTGAAGCGGACCAATTTCTACCAAGCTAACCGATCAAAGGGGCACCTATGCTGCCAAGGGACACACCAACACTGTAACGGACCGCGATGCGCGGACAGATGGATGCCGGGGGGGGGGGGGGAGAATTCCAAAATATGTTTGTTTTTGAGAGGCTGAGCTAAATAGAAACTAGCTTGTTCTTTGTGAAGCCGACAGACGGTCAGGGGTGGGGGGTGGGGGGTGGGGGGTGGCGGAGGTTTGGGGTTGAAGCTTCTGGATGGAAACCGCAAGTTTTGACCTCATTCTCTTTGCCCCTTGTGTGTTCCCCGCCCAATGTTCACGAACCTCTGTCGCTTCGGGTTTGTTTCTTCGCGTGCCTCTCATGGGCACCTTTTGTTTCGGGTGAGGCACCTTTGGGTGTTTCAGGGGCACGTTTTTCCTCTGGCTTGTTTTTTTGAAGCTTATCCCAATTTCCACGAACCTCCTCTCACTTCGGGCTTGGTTTTCTTCGGGTGCTAAAGAAGAGGCACCTGTGGGTGCGTTTCATTTTAAAAAGAACAAAGATCGAGGCCCCTTCTATATTCCTCTCCCAATGTCCACCAACCTTTGTCACTTCGAGTTGTTTCCTGGGCGTTTCATTAAAAAAGAGAGAGAAAGAACCGAGGACCTGTGGGCGTTTCATTTAAGCGAAAGAAGCCGAGGCACGCTGCTGTGGACCTTCTTGATGATCATGATCTTGGTCTACGGCTTCGCGGTGGTGGGCATCGCGCCCTGGCTCCATGGACCGTGCGCCAGGAAGACCGGGAAGCTCCTGAGGGGCCATAGGAGACCTTGGCCTCATCTCAACTGGGGTTCCCCTGGTACCTTTTTTTTGACAACCAAGCTAAAAGCCAGCGGAACCGGACCTATCTCCGACACGAGCCGATGGACCGATGAGCAGGAGACCGATGACTTGGCCCATGGAGATTCGCCATGGAGCACGCTCCAGCCACATTCATGCCCCTCCTTTGGCATCATGGTCGCGTCTAAGCAGGCCCCCAGCAAGCACCTCCCGGCCGAAAAGGTCGAGGAACCCAACCTGGACCCACGCAGGAGCAGTTGGGGCCCATTGCTTGCCAGCTCCTTTCTCCCTTCCGAAAAGACGAGAGCTTGCTGCCTTCCAGAATGGACAAAAACGACGAGGACACCAAAGGATCCACCAAGCCTACCTCCAACTCTCATGGGGTGGTGCACCGTTCTTATGACAATCCCAACCGTGTATGACAGCCTTGTTGCAGAGAAAGCCATCAACACGGATCAGAAGCTAGCCTTTGGACAACTGGACGAGAACCAAAACAAACGGACCGTTTTCGCCCGAAACCCACGCGTGGTCCGTTTTACCCAATCTTCCCACGTCGGGAAGTGAGGTGCGATGAGGTGCTCCATCCTGACAAAAAAATAGTTTCCGGTTTTTGGATCTGTTCATATTTAGTGGGGTTGCAAAGACCCAAGTTTTTGCTACCGGAAGTCCCGGCACAGCGTGTCGTGCCAGTCGTCCTCTCTCAACAGTCCTTTAGAGCCTTGGACCCAATTCCGGAACCCTGTTTTGGATTTAAAGATTGGTGGTTTCCTTTTTGGTTTACCCTTCGAGAGATTGCGGGGCGGGGGGGGGGTATATTTCGAGAAACCTCGTTTCTACAAAGACTTGGAGTGGTGCAGAGAGCCGAGTGTTTGCTAAGACTTGGAGAGGCCATTCGCCCGTTTTCGGATCCCAGGAAACCATCAACTTGGACCAGAACTTGGCCTCAGACCACCCCTACAACGTCGCGGTCTCCGCGAACTTTGAGAACTTCATCGACGCGCCCCGGCGGGCGAAAGCGCGAGGTTCGGAGGAAAAGGTTTGAGGCGTTCTGACTTAGCACGTGTTGTTTAAACGTTAACCAAACCACATGGGGGTGGCTCAAAATTAAACAGGAGGGGTTACGCAGGTTTTGGTCCACGTTTCCACTTACAAGGGTTCCATTTTGGTACCGGTTTTTGAAGCCACAGCCATATACGTATTTCATGTGCTGTGTATATATGATCCCGTCCTCCGCCCTCCTACCCGCCTCCCCAGAGCCCCGGCCGCACTTTTTGGTGCCCTGGACTGGACCGCTGTGTGCTTCGGGCTTGCTCCGCACTTTTTGGATATGTCCATTCCCTGCCACCCGCTCACGCATTTTTCATGCGTGCTGATTCTTCTTTTGTCTTTTGTCAGAGAGATAGCCTTCAATTAGTGTCCGTACCACGTCAGTTCCTTCTAAACTTCCTTTCATAAGCAAGCACGCCGCCCAAAACAAACGCAAGCAAGCCCTAAAACCACTCCCCAGGGCGGGCAGGCAAAACGCATCCCAACCAATCTTCCAGAGTTCCCAACCAGCCCACCCACCATGCCACAGGGGGGAGGGGGGGATTGCGGCGGGGGGGAATGGGGGGGGGGGGGGTTGGGGGCTGGACCATATATATATATATATATACATGTATCCATATATATATATATATATATAATATGCACATGTCTACACAAACATCAAATAAAAGAGATACATACACCAACATATTTGAATGCATCAACAAAGAGGCCCATAAACAAGCTCAGACACACATGTGTATGTTCGTAGACTTTAGCCACCTCATGCACGCGAGATTTTTGTCGTGCATACCACCATACAGGGCTCCGGCTTCTTGGGTGACCACGGCAACGATGCTGATGCTGCCGCTGGTTATGCTACGACTGCTGATGACGCTGATGAGAATGATGATGTTGCCGTTGCTACTGCTGGTGCTGATAATTTTTCCTGCGGCTGCTGCTGCTGCTGCTGCTGCTGCTGCTGTTGGTGCTGTTGGTGCTGCTGCTGCTGCTGCCGCTGCGGCCGCTGCCGCTGCCGCTGCCGCTGCCGCTGCCGCTGCCGCTGCCGCTGCCGCTGCCGCTGCCGATGATGATGATGATGATGATGATGATGATGATGATGATGATGATGATGATGGATGAGGATGAGGATGAGGATGAGGATGAGGATGAGGATGAGGATGAGGATGAGGATGATGATGATGATGATGATGATGATGATGATGATGATGATGAGGATGATGATGATGATGATGACGATGATTGCGGCCGGGTTAGCGCGAACTAAATGTGACAAAGTTCTTGGGGTTGGCAACACTACTGTAAGGATGGTAGAGCAGATTCAGGTTGTTTAATTTTGACCCACAGCCATTTGAGATTTTGTTTTGGCCAATCCCGAACAGGTTGAATTTGTACCCTGTCTGTACCTCTGTACCTCTTTTCCAAATGGATGTGGACAAGGAACCTTTTGCAAGGTAGTTGTCCAAACCCTCCTGAAAAAAGTCCATGGGAAGAGGGTACAACAAACCAAGGGTTTACACTCCTCTCGGAACAACATGGAACCCTAAAAAACCCACCAGCTTTTAGGGAAGCCTCGTTTTGGTTGCAGGCTTGAATTTTGGGTACCCATTTTTTGACCCGCAGCCAAATGGCCAAGAACTCTCAATCCCTGAGGCGTTGTTTGGGTCCGCAAGAGAGCACCTCTCAGAGAGTTCCGTGGCGATGATTTTTTTTTGGTTGGAACACTCGGTTCCCCCATCGAAAAAGGAGTTGGGCGTGTTTTTTCAGCCCTTTTCAGGTTGGTTTCAAGAGGACTACCAACAGAACGCCAGATACTTTTTTGGGGGCCCCTATTTGACCATGAGTGTGAACAGGGAACCCCCTCCAAAGTGGTTGGTGCACATGGATCCCCACCTTAAATGGTGTCCAAAGGGTCCCTGACTAAAATTCAGACCCACATGACTGGGATCAAGCTCTAGTTCTTGTTGAAGACAGGGTCCCAGAACCCTTCATGTTTTGTTTTTCAAGAGGGTAGAGCGGGAGTCAACCCCCTTAATGTGCTCACAAAGGTTTTGGTGGGTTCCGACTTCTACTCTGGGAGTATCGACTCGAGACCTTCTGACCGGTCAACCCCTGGGTGATGGACTGGTGGGACTTGACCTTCCAGCCTTCAAGGAGCTTCCTCTACGAGGGCTTTTTGGGCGAGCCCAAGTGAATCTGCCAGATGGGTCTGTCTTTTTATTAGGATACCCTAAACAAAAGGCTTGGTTGAAAAGGACACCACAAGGGTTCCCCGCCATGTTGAGACATACCCCAAAAAATCAAGCGCCTGATTTATTGGAGTGAAGGGCGTGCTCAGGCCATGCTGACGCTCTTCCAGTGTTTCACCTTGGACTCCGTGGAAGCGGTGTACCGGCCATTGATCACCCACAACCCCGTGCTGCCGCTTGTGGGGGAAAATCGACCTGCTCGGACGAGCGCCGCATTTTTTTTTTGTGTGTGTGTGCCTTGAGGTTCAACCCACCATGAAAGCAAAAGGGGCTTAAGCTAGTCGCCATGATTTACCTGAAGGAGTTTCATTCTTCCAAGTTGGTTCCGCCATTCTTTTCGTGGGGGTTGAAGCCTAAATTGTTTTCTGAAGCGTGCGGGGTACCCTTACCCTCTTTCCAAGATTCGTGGAAGCGGACTGGAGCTTCCCTCAAAGGAAGGCCCATGGTCGTCCCCACAGGTTCCTGTCGGCTTGGAGGGAGGGTAGTTCTCAGCTTTCAAAGCGAAACCGGAAAGTGCGCCCCGATAATTTTAGCGCAAGTTGGAGGGTGCCAAAAAATGGGCGCTCACTCTCGCTCGCTTTGTTTTTTTCTTTTTTCTCTCTCTGTCTCTCTCTTTCTCTCCCTCTCTATCTCTCTCTCTCTCTCTCTCTCTGTCTTTTCACGGGAAACCAAAGGGAAGACCACGTAGGTTTGTATCCTTCTCTGGGGGGGTTCTGAAAGTAGCGGTCCACTAGACTCGTTGGCTTTTCAACCAGAAGAAAAGAAGGGGTCCAAATGCCGAGCAAACTCGATATTTTCCACTATAGTGTATCTTGGCGGGGGCAGAGGTAGTCTACAGGGTGGTAGGTGGTTCTACTACCTGCGGCTTTAGACAGGTTATAGTAAGGCCTATATTTCTAGGGGTAACTTCCCAATTCTTTCCAGGATCCTTCTTTCTAGAAAACCACCAAACACCGGCTGGTTTTTTGAAAAGAACGATGGCTGAAAAGAATGGAGAATCAACCTCTAGAATATTATCTTTTGACCATCTTGGCGGACTCATTGCAGCATTTGAAGACAACTCGTTTGCTCCTTTGGGTGCGCCCCTTGAGTATATGGCTCTGTTCTTTTGTTTGGGGCTTGGTACCTCTCTTTGGGCTGGGTTTAAAAGGATATCTTAGGAACACAAAATGTATGGGGATCCAAAATCTCTATGACAATACCCATGGAGTTCTCTTGGATCCCCTGTTTCCCGAGTGGGTTGCAAGACCTTGCAACTTCTCTTGGAGGGGGGCCCCTTCAAAATCAAGCGAGCAACCTGAGAGGCAATTCCCACGGCAATGCACTGAAGTTCGGGGTTTGGTTGGTGTCGCCGAAAGGAAACCAACCAGAGGGGGACAACTATTTTGAGAAGGCCCCATTTGGCAGGGCTCCTTAAAAGATCTCCATTTTGCAACCATTTGAAACATGTTGCTTTTTCAACACCAAAATAAACGGAAACCACCATGTGCAAGGCAATGTGCAGGTGTATCATGTAAGGATCCCTGTTTGGGTGAGTTGTTTTTTTTTTTTTTCCAGGGACACCCCCGGAACTGGGGTGTTTCCGTTTGGTGTCCCTTGAACACCTGCCAAAAAGGGGTACCGAGCCCCAGAAAAGAGACACACCCATTTCAGTGTTGCAGGGATTGATTCCGCAAGGAGCAAGGGCAATTGGGTGACTCGGATCTAAAAAAACCCTTTTTCATGGGGCAAAGCAAGCGAAGACCAGATCTGAGCTGAGGCTGTCCTACTTCATGACGGTCATCCTGATCATGGCGCGCCACGCCCGAATGCGGTGGATGTTTTGGTACATGTTGGTTTAATCATCGATCATCGCCGTTACTTACTTTCACCATGCGCAAGTCCCTCCCTCTGGGGGTCTGCCTTTTTGTGGAATCCTTTTGGTACAAGGGAAGCCAGCCCTATGTTCCAAACCACCAAACCACCAAACCAAGCCACCAAATGGGTGTGGGTCAAAAATAGGTACCCATGGAACTCTGGTAAGTCTAAACTGCGGTCCCTGGTGGTGCTGGGTATGTTCTTTCCAGAGCGATTTCAGGATCTCGCTGATGAACCTGGTCACCGCTGTCATGGTGAACTCTGCACTGGACCAGGCCAGCGAAGACAAAGACGAGCCTCGGAATGCGAAAGAGAAGCCAAGGTTGGTTGCAACATTCGGAGGGTCTGGAAGGTTACTTCCATTTGCTTAGAGATATTTCTTATCTCCCCCCAGCTTTAAGGGGAATCTATCACTACTGGACATGTATTTTATGTTTTCCCAGGAGAATTAAGCAAATGGATGGTTGCAACATTTGAGCCGCTTGCTCGAAACCGGTTCGGGTAGATAAGGGTTATGCCTCATTTAACTAAATGCTTTGTCACCAAAGCACTGCCGGAGTTGTCCTACCTAAGCTATGCTTAGCATTCCCGGGGTGTGGGGAAATAGCTCGGGCCAAAATTGTTCTTTCTTTTTTTCAAGTGACCATGCTAACACGGGACTTTGGAGCTTCCTCAACTGTCTTGTATTTGGCTGTTTGTTCCCATTCACGCCTCGCAGGCCTTGTTTGGCCATTCGGCAAACAGCTGCTCCTGTGGTGGCCTCATAACGCCTCAAGTTGGTAGAATTTCTGTTCTTCTGGAAATGGTGGACGTTTTTCGCTTGGTATTTAACTTGACTGCTATTGGGTTGGGTCTTTAGACTTGACTTTTTGGGAAACAAAGGTGTTATCTACTAAACCCCCAACAAGTTAAACCTTTTGCAGGGGGGTCAACAGCAACCAAGTTAAAGGGACACAAATAGGCAGCCAGCCATTTTAGGGGACCCCGTGACAACGCCCCCCCCCCCCGCTACTCGCTCTCAGGTGAAGCGTGCCTACGAAGCCGTGCAGAAGCGGAAGCAGTGGCTCACCCGCAGGAACTTGTAAGCAGGTGCCAGGGGAAGAAGTCTAACTTTTTCCAACGGTTGATTCCTTGTCCATTCTTTTCAACCGTCGTTCTTTTCAATAGCCGGCTGTTTCCCCTGGGGTTTTGAGGGTTTCCTGAAAAGAAGGATCCCTGGAAAGAATGGGGAAGGTGCGTTATTATCTTGTGTGTTCCTCCCCAAACCAAAACAAACGGATGTAGATATCTATGTAGCAGCACTTCTGGGTCAGAGGATTGATTGAAAAAACCTGGTTCGAGCCGCCACTGTTCGGAGAGGTGAAGTTGCAAGGCGAGAATACAGACCCGCGGGGCGCGAGGGCTGAGACATAAGAACTGCCACGGCATAGAGCTTACAGCACTCATCCTGGGTGTCCATTTGGGCCATTCGGCTGGGTGGCAGAGACCAAATAACGAGGCGAATGCTTAAGGAGGAAGCCATCGTACCAAAGGCTTCCAACATGAATCCGCCCTCTCCTTGACGGCCTTTCCACAACCAGGTCACCTGGTTCTTGGGCAGCTCGCCTTGACGTATTTCAGGCTTCGAATTCATTGGCAGCGTGATTCCTTCCGGGCGCTCATAAACAAAGTAAGCTTGGCCGACTCCATGTGTTGCTTTACTTGTTTATGTTTTCTTGATTTCCCCCATTTTTTGACACCCTGGCGAGCTGATAAGGGCCACCCAGCCAAAAAAGTCAGACTCGATGTTTTTTTCTTCTGGGGCAGCTTCTGTTTAGCTCGATTTCCACGATGAGGGCTCCGAGCCCCGAGTTCTCGGGTGTGTTTTGTCTTAGGGAGCCTTGTGCAATGACTTGTTTTTTGCATTTGATTTCCCATTAAGAACCACAAAGCGGTACCCTCGAAAAGAGATGAGATGCTTTTTGCTTTTCCATGTTGTCCTTTTTGATTTCCCGAAAACAACAAAACCACCAAAAAAGGGGGTACCCTTTAGCAATGTTCTATTTGTTTTGCTTGTCCGAAAACAAAAAACCACCAAAAGCGTACGCTGTTCCTTTTGATTTCCCATTAAACGCCAGAACTTCTGGGAGTAGCAACTCCAATCTCAGGCTCGAGCGCCTGAAGATCATGTTCCTGGAGCTGGACAGCGACGGCTCAGGCGGGCCCTTGGATGGTCTAATCAGATCCCCAAAGTGGACGGTTGCCCTTTCGTTGCCCTTCAAAATCAAACCCAAAGGGTGCCGTCAACAAAAGAGAGAGACCCCTCAAGAAAACAGTTTTTTTTCTCCTTTTTCCTTTTCGGAGGAGTGTCATAGGGAGACCCCCCTGGATTCTTCAGGGAGACACCCCTCTTTGAGACTCTCCTGGATTTTCGTGGGTGCAACCCCCATAAAGGAGCCCCAAAGAAAGGGAGAAAGTCAAATAATGCCACGAGGCAGCTGCAGACGGGGTCTCTTCGAGTGTTGCCCACGTTCAGGGGCGCAATCTCAGCGTGACATTTTTTTTGTGTGTGTGTGTGTGATGTTTTTTTTTTTTTTGTGTGTGTGTTTTTCCCCCATATGCAACCGCCCCAAAAAACACAGCTCGGGATGTCGAACATGTTACTCTGGTGTACCCGAGGGGTCAAATCCGAAACCTCTGGGAAACCTGGGCCCTATCAAATGACAACATTCTGCACACTAAGGTTCATCAAACTGCACCAAGTGTAAATCATACTTTAGTATGTCGTGTTGAGTCGGGGGCAAACACTGAGGTAGAAACAGCTCGCAAACGCGGCCGGGTCAATGCTCAAGGTTTGATTGATTTGCACCGCTTGGTTGGTTTGCGGCACTGTTTCTCAGACGCGAACTTGGCAATCAACCGAGTGAGGCATGTGTTTGCCCCATGGCACGTCTGTTTTGCCTCATTCTTCTAACTGGCAATGAGGCAAGCTGCAATGCGAATTTCCCCCCTTCTCCCCTCGCCCAGCTTTTACTTTTTCCAGCCGGTCGCACAAGCTCCAAACAAGCGTGGCTTGGTCGCTGAGAATACACAAAGCTTTCACACAGAAAATGACGCAAAGGCAGATGCAACTCCTGGCTTTTGTGTGCTTTCCACGTTTGGTTTGCATTGCTGAGCATTAATGTTGACCCCCATATGAATCAACCAACCAGTTTATTAACAGGGGGCGTTCCTCTCCAAAAGTGGTCTGATTCCAACCACTAAACTCAGAATGGGACACCGGGACCCCTGTTAATAAATGGTTGGTTGATGAAAAATTGGGGTCAACATTATGCTTGCACTTCGGCCAGTGAAGCCGATCAGTTTGAGGATCCTTCGTTTGAGGTTCAAACAGCATGAGGTGGTTCATACATTTTACCATGGATGGAGATTGACCATTTGCCAGGATCAAACCATGATCATGACCGCAAGTTCCGGCTCTGCCGCAATGAGTTCCCACCAGCATCCCTGCTTTCCAGGACCACCTGCACCTTATTCCAAAAGAAACTCGAATCCAATCTTAGATAGCTGCCAACATCCACGCAGAATTTGGTAGTCCCCAAACAAAGGGACAAAAGGAACCATTTCCGGACATGGCCCCAGATACTATACTGCGTGGAGTTTGACAACGCAGGAGTATCGGAACACCATTGTCTCGTTTGAAAAAACGCGTCTTCAAAGCGAAGAAGCAGCCAAATAGGCGTGCCCCCAAAACTTGGTTTCCCTTTAGCACCAACCAAACCAAGGGTTTCTTTTCCAGAAAGGCAGACCCACGTGGGGGTAATTTCCCAGTGCAATTCCAGTACAAAAACCGATCCCGCCTTTTCTGGTGTCAGCTCTTTGGCTGCCTGGCGCACAGAATTTGGGTGAATTTTGAGAGGCACCTGCAAAGGATGACTCCAAGATCACGCGTCAGGATCAATTGGGAGGCACCTCGTGAAAAAGTTCACACATGATCGCTTCCACATTGGCCTCCATATTCGCGTCCGATTCTGGCAGGCTTAATTTTCTGAGTGTGGCGGCAGTTGCACGTTCTAACTTTGCGGTCACTCTCTCTCTCTCTCTCTCTCTCTCTCTCTCTTTTCTCCCTCTCTCTCTGTCTGTATATATATATATATGTATATATATATATACGTAGATACATATATGTAATCGTTGGTGTTGAAGGGACCGAGTACGTAAATCAATTAGCAGAGAGATAAGTTGGCAAACCAATGGATCAAGCAACAAGTAATGGAAACCCACAAACAAGCAAGCAAATAGCGCGGGGAGTGGGTGGGTGGGTGGGTGGGTGGAGTGGTTTGAACAGGACACCTTCCCTTATATACTGATTCAGAGCCATACCAAGGAGAGGAATCGCAGCCAATCGTGACGGCACCCCCAAAATGGGTGTCCTTTTGATTCGTCCTGAGAACCAAACCGCAAATGGATTGCCCTCAAAAAACAACATTCCCAAAGGGTGGCTTTTTCGTTTCGGGGCCAACCAGTTGACACAAAAGTCGGGCCACCTTCCCATGCCCCCCCACAAGCTCTGAATCGGGCTCCGGCGGAACTTTTTCAGGCCCTTTCAAAGGTTGGAACGGGCAAGCAGAACAGCTTTCCGCCGTCTTGGGGGTCCTTTTTCCCTAGTTTAGACGTTCATACTTACACACATATAAATATGTGTACATTTATGTTTGATATATCGTTCTTGTATTCGATTTACTTATCTTGTTATTCATGCCATGTCTTTCTTTCTTTCTTTCTTTCTTTCTTTCTTTCTTTCTTTCTTTACTCAAATACAACCAGAGGCCCACTTTACTTTCTTTCCTTTACTTTCTTTATTACTTCTCATTTCTCTACCCTCCCCCCCCGCGGCCCCGCCGGCCTTTTTCTCGCCCCTCGACCCCCAACCAACGGCGACGCCTTGCGGCGGCTTCGCCAGGGGAGCTGACGCTGGAGGAGCTGCGCTCGGCGCCGGAGGAGGTCCGGGAGCAGCTCCAAGAGGTGGCGGCCACCGAGGAACGGGCGAAGGTCGCCGAAGCCGAAAACCATCGAACAACAAGATGTCGCCGGCCGTGGGGGGGGCGAAACCGTCTTTTTTTGTTTTGGTTGTTTGTGTTTTTTTTTGGCTTTCGCGTCTCCTTTTTTAAGCAAGCAATGTTTGTTGATCACAAGTATCTGTTCTGTCCCTTTCTTTCCATTTTGGTGTGTTCTTGTTTTTAGACTTTACTAAAAGTCCACCCATTGGGTGCGTGTTTATCTTTTTTCTGTTGAACAAGCAGTATTTGTTATTGTAAACGCTTCGCGTTGCCCGCCTCGGCCCAGCCTAGTTTGAGGGAAGGGTCAGGAACACCGAAATCCAGTGTTGGGAAGGTCCGAATCCTACTGAAAGCTTGTGACCGCGGTTGTTGGTTGAGCTGGGCCTGAAGCTAGTTTACGGCGGGCTGGGCAGCCGCACTGAGGGGGCTGGGCTATGGCTGGGCTGGGCCTGAGGCCAGTTTCAGACACGTCAGACAGGCCTGGCCAGCAGGCGGACTGGGCTGGGCTGGACGCTAGCCGAGCCCAGGCTGGTGAGGCCCAGTCTCGGCGCTAGATAGGCTGAGGCCTGCGAGTCTGAAACAGGGTGGGCTTGGGTGAGGTTTGCTTAGGCGGGTTGCTGGTTGGGCTGGGCCTGAAGCTAGTCTCAGTTGCTGGCTGCTGGGCAGCCGGACTACGCTGTTGGTTGCGCCTGGAACTTCGGCTGGGCGGGCTGGGCTGAGCTGTGCTTGGGCGGGTCGCTGGATGCGCAAGGCCTGTCTCATACACACTTGGGCCTGACGCTGGGTAGCGAGTTGCTGGCTGGAGCAGGAGGTCAAGGCCTGGCCAGCCTGGGCTGAGCTGCTTGGGCAGCCGGATGGGGCACGTCAGACAGGCTTAGTAGCTGGCGTAGCTTGAGACCAGTCTCAGACACGTGAGACTGGTCGTTGGCCTGAGGCCAGTCTCAGACACGTTAGACAAACCTGACCTGGCACGCTGGGCTGAGCCTGCTGTCTCAGCCACGAGGCTGCGAAGCCGGACTACGCTGCTGGGCTGAGCTGTGCTTGGGTGGGTTGCTGGATGGGCAAGGCCTGTTTCATACACACTTGGGCCTGAGGCTGGGTGGCGAGTTGCTGGCTGGGCTGGGCCTGAGGCCAGTCGCAGACACGTAAGACACGCCAGCAGGCGGGCTGAGGGACTGGGCCTGAGGAGGTCATGCTTTTCAGGACAAAAAAGCAATTTTCGTGGACCCATAAAGCCGAAAATTTCAAGGCCCGCCGGACAGGATTTTGGGCCAGCCGACATGGGTGGGGGGGGGGGGGGCGGGCCGGCAAAATTTTGGTGGGAGGGGGTTGGGGGAGGGGAAAAGCGAAGATTCTCTTTGGAGAAGAGATCTGAGCGCCCTTGGCCCCTTTGGGGCCGAGGCGAATTTCCATTTGTTGCAGTGGCTAGAATGGTTGTACGTAGTAGTTGTAGTTGTAGTAGTTCAAACAGTTGTGGTGGTTACAATTGTTGTAGTGGTTGTAGTGAGCCAATGATGCAGAAAACAACATGGTAAGTGTTTTGTAAACGATAGAATCTGTTTCCAACTTGTTCCCTTGCAATATTGAGTCACATGTCATCTCTACATCATCCCAAACATGAACATATGGGTGTGTCTTTTCAAAACATGGTGGTTTCACCGTGGTTTCCCTTCAAAGCCAAGCCCAAAAGGACACCCGGCCAAGAAAAAAACATGCCGGGCCCATGCCCGCGGGGGGGGAGTCCCCCTTGAGGGGTCTTAAGCTGCAGGCCTTCTATCCGAAATCTTCCCCGAAGGGCTTTTATGTGAAGGCTAGGCAATGAAAAGGGGGACACCACTGGCCCCATGGTTTTTTACGAGGCACTCAGTGGTGGGTGAAAGGGAGCCAAGGAAACCACCAGCCAAGATCTGGCTGGAAAACAACCCCGAGAAACTGTCAACAAAATGACCCCAGAAACGGCGACGTTCCGTTTCCTTTGCCCCCCCCCCCCAAAAAAAACTCGCCTCAGGGCACCGTGCAAAGACAGACCCGCTTCCGTCCCCAACCTTTCGGCCATGTGTTTGCTTGGCCCAAGCCCATGTCACGATCAAATGATTTGTTTGAAGACCCCACATAAGCATATCCCTCACCACTACAACCACTATATATATGTATATATTTAACTACGATAACCATTGTAGCCGACGTTGAAATGATGTGGAGCCTTTGTTTCATCCACACCATGTGAGAAAGACCAGCCTGCTGTTGGCTGAAGCCACAAACAATTCGGGCTTCCCCTTTTTCTTTTGGTGTCCCTTGCCCTCAATCCTGCCCAACCCCCCCTGCCCCCCCACCCCAAACGTCGGGTTTGACCACTCCACGGAACATTTCGCAACCGCCAACAACCGGAATCAAGCCCGGGACCTGGGTCAAAACCCTTAAACCCTTAAACCGGGTTTGAGCACTCGACTCACCCGCCAAAAAGCGCCGAACTCGGCTTCGGATTGGCCGCCTGGACGCCGGCAGGACATCGAGGGCCTCTTCCAGATGTTGGACTATGACGGGGGCGGATCCTTGGACACCGAGGAGTTCTGCGAAGGCTGGTCGGCGGAACATGCCAAGGTCTGAGAAGTAGGTTACTTCACTCATGGCGGGTGCTTTTCGAAGAAGGCATTGGAGACTAAATCGCCTTTAACAACCTGCTGATTCATTTGGGGGGATGGTTTTGGCTCCAAAAGTGGTCTGATTCCCCGTAAAATCAGGGACACCGGGACCGCCGGACCCATGGGGTCAAATAAGGTTACTTCACTTCACTGTTGGCATGGTTTAGGCTTTTTTTTCTTAAGGTTCTGGTCATTTTTGGGGGCTGCAACAAACAACGTGGTTTACTACTTTTTGGGGGGATAATTGGAACCTTACAAGCGGTTCGAAAGGTAGGTTACTTCACCCATGGCTGGTGTTTTTCTGGGGTCGTGTTTGTGGTCAAGAAGTGGGGGACGACGGACCAATCCACTGGCGGGCATTTTGCAGTTTGTTTCTTTTCTTGAATGCGGGGAACCAGCCACGTACAGGAGTGTAAATTGCAGCCAACCCGAAAGCAACATGGAAGCCAAGTGTCCAATATTCAAGCAGGGGGATTTGGACATAAGAAATATCTTTATTTATTCCATTTTTCCTTTGTAAGGCTTGAGTGGAGTTGCCCCCTAACCTTTTTGAGACAAACCCATATGATTAGGAGGAACTAGAAACTTCCTTCAGCAGCCAGGGATTTGAACTGAGAAAGGGTCTGTGTGGAATCCTGATTCGTAAGCCCCTACTTCATTCAAGAGCCCACACCCTGTAAATCGAACATGGTACCCTCAAACAAAGACACCCGCATAATGCCTAGGAACACATATCCTTCCATTTGCTCAATAATATGTTTTATTTCCGCTGTTGGTTTTAACGGGAATCTGTTAGTAATGTACATTTTTCCCCTATGACTTAAGCACATGGATGTATCATATCCGAAGGCGCATATTGTGATGCAGCTGCAATCCTGTGGAGTTTGTCATCCGACTGATCTATTCCGGTCAGGCTGCTGAACTGCGTGTTTGAACGCTGGGAAACCAGCAGCAAATTATAGAGAAGCTTAGAGACGGACAAAATGAGATAAGCAGACGCGTTCAAGTAAGCTACTCAGTGCAATGGAAGTGTCAGGATGCTGTTGCGGATGAGTTCATGAGCCCTGAAAGTCATGTTTCGGCTCACTTGACCCTCAGTAGCCTCCACGTTTGTGGGAAGGGTAGAAGGCAAGCACGGGCCTGCGTCTTCGATTCGCCGGGCCTTCGTAAGTGGTTCGTAGCCTACGGCGTCGCAAAAACCCGCGGAATCTGCGGTCGCCCTGAAAAGAACACCTGTGGCTCCATGCTTGTTTTTGCGAGGGTAGGTTATAACCTACTTGTAGGTCCCAGTGGAGTTAGCCCAGCTGTAAGTAAGTTCTAGCCTGAGGTACAAAGCACTTACTACTTTGCGAATTCGACACCCAGGTAGCCACGCTTGGTTTCAACAAGATCTGCAAGGTGAGGAGAGACACCCCCTACTGTGGATGGACGAATTCCTGCACGTTGAAACCATGGTTGAAACCCATTGTTTGTTGGTATTTTGCAGGACATTCGGATCATTCCAGGTTTCTGAGGTGGTGCGCAATGGACTTTGTCCAGTGCTTCCCCCACAAAGGTTCTCAAAGCCCTTGGATCACTACCTTCCTTCGCCAAGGCTCTTGACAGAACCAGGAGCAATTTTCTTTCCTCCCGGTGGATACGCCCCAATTGCAAGGGAACAAGGACACCCGCTACTTACCCGCATGAAAACCATGGTTCTGTGGTCGACTATGGTTGGTTTGCTTGCAATTCAGAGATTTTAAACAGACCCTGGCGGATCGCTGTTTTCCTCTTTTTTCACCTGTTGCCTTTTTGGACGGTCTTCGTTCACTTTTCGCAAGTTGAAAGCCACGGTTTTTACACTCCCTCAAACTAACAGCCGGAAGCTCCCAGAAGGCAAATCCTGCAAGTGGAACCAAGTCTTCCAAGAACGTCCGTTCGGGAGCTTCCATGGAATCGCTGGGGGAGTGTAACGCCGAGCTTTTTCGGGTTTTTCCATGGGAGCAAATGAATCTCGAGTCTTCCAACAACGCCAAGTCTCCCGGGTTTTTTCCATGGGAGCAAGCGCACGAGCGAGTCTTCCAGGGGTGCTCCGAGCCTCCACCAGCGACAAGCCCCTGGAGCTGTCGCGCCTGGTGAAGCAGTGCTCGGACATCCTGAAGCTCTGCCGGGCGCCCCAGCCGGCTGAAGCTTCAGGAATAGGTTCCAAAGAAGCCCTTGGAATTTCGTTTTGGAGGGGGGGGGGCTGAAGCTTCAGGAACAACCAAACAACGTCCTTGGAATATTTTTTTTGTTTTTTTTTTGGGGGGGGGGGGGGTGGTTATTTCGGGGGCAAAGGGTTATTTAGTTATTTTCCCTTTTTGGTGGTTTTAAAGATCACCTGGATGCTTCAGCGAATTGCTTTTCGCCTCAGTGAGAAGAGTCCTGGGAATCAGGCGTTGTGGTTGATCACTCGGGGCTTCTCCAACCGCTTATGTGATACTTTTGGGACATCTCCCCCCGTATTTCGCCGCCCTTGTTGGCGGTTTTTAAAGATCACCTGCTTGGCTCATGAACAGTGTGTGTCCCTTTGGGGGTGATGTGTCAAGCGGAACTACTGGGGGCCCTTGGAGTCGATGGAAAAACTGAAGCTGGAATGAAAACCCAAAAGGGAATCGACCGGATCGAAGCTTTTGACGCGCTCGCTGACTTTGGGCCAATTGTGTATTTTTATGCTCAAGGTGCCCACGAGTATTTCTGTTGTCTTCCCCGGGTGAACCATGGGACTGATACACGCCTTGGTATTGTGAGAGGACCGGAGTGCTTGTCGCGCGCGGAAGTGTACATCTGGTATCGCCATGGGGAGCACCCCCCCCTATAACAGTTGAATCCTTCTTTGCACACATGGGTGTGCATGGAGGTTAGTTTGAGCGTTTGTTAGTGCTTCGCTGCACACTCTGGGACTGGCCCTTTTGGCTTGCCTTGGACGTCAGACACATTCTGGCAGCTGCCCTTGGGCGATCGCCACTGAGCTCGCTGATTGACAAGAATTGGGCAAGAGCCAAGCTAGTGCCTGCCAGGTTTGTGTTTGGAGAACTGGTGTCCTATTGGGGCCTGGATCTCTGTGACTCACATGTGGCCACATGCAAGTTCGAGTGTGGCTGGACTCAAAGCACAAACCCGCAAAAGTGGCCAGGAGGCGTTCTCTCAAATCCTCCCCTCTGAATTTGGAGTTGCTGAAACCCCGGATGACTGTTCCACCGGGCATGCAGGTCGAGTTATGTATCACAACGCTTCCAAGCCCAAGTCGGAAGAGACAGGCGGGGACTGCATCGAGAGGAGGCGAAGCGTTTTTGCTCTGCGATCGGATGGAAGCTGAACTCGGGAAGTGTGGCATCTCTGGCCTTGTGATGTTGATGCTGGATGTGGGGGTGATCAACATTCTGTTCAGCCCCCAAATGACTATGGGTAACTATTCTTTTGGAAAAGATCAAGTCTTTTTGTGGTTTCCCCACCAACGTTCCTGTGTAAAGGACCTTTTGATCATCTTTGGGACTTCGATTTGAAGAAACAGGATCCCCTAGCCACCGAAGAAACGCAAGTCTAGGGTTCTTGTACGAATCAGGGCACCGCCAGCACACAAATTCTCTCTATGCGATCGGTGCGAGAGATGCAGGGAATGAGAAATGGAACGAATTCAGGAATTCCCTTGTAATTAAAAGGAGACTATCAGTTGGATGGTTTATAAGGGTCATTCCATTTCTCATTCCCTGAGGACCAGCAAGTACATTCGATATCATCCCTCTTGAGCTTCTTTGCACAAGGCACGGTCCAAAACAGAGAGCCGCCAATGCTTCATTTTTGTTTAATGATTTGTCAGGTGGTTTACACTCCCCACAAACCAATTCCTGGAGCCATCTTGGATTGAAGAGGCGGGGTCTTGTGTGACCTGGTTCGTGTAAAAGCTTCGACCAGAATCTGGCTGCGTCATCCTCAGGGATGAGCTGGTGTCTGCCTGGGCTTGTTTTCACGAGAGCAGCGTCCCACAGCGCTATGATTGGCCATTTTAGTAGGTGCACGGTTCTACACCCCGTGTTCTTTTTTTTTTCTTTTTTTTTCCGGGTGCTTGAGCCGACTCTTGTCGGGGGAATCGCAAAGTCCCAACTTTGGCAGCGAGAGCAGCGCCACTTTGGCGGCGAGCACAGCCTGATTTTTTGAGTAAACCAGGCCCGCCATCTATCGTGAACCTATCCCGAGGAGAACGCGCAGATGATCTAAGTCTTCCACTTCTCCCAAACTCCCAAGTGAAATTTGCCAGGGGAAGGGGTCGGTTTTTTAAGGGTACCCCTCTTTTTGGGTGGCTTTTAAAGGGAGCCCCGAACAGAACGCCGGACCGGGGTGGCTCGGTTTGGGGGTGGGTTTTCCATGAGGAGTCCAGTCAGATCTGCATCGCCAACTCCAGATCATGGAGCAGAAGGTGGATACCATTCAGTCGCCCGGCGGGAGAAGATGTGAGCTTCCGAATGTCCAAAGAGAACAAACAAAAACGAACTTGGGTGTCTTTTTGTTGATGTTTTTTTTTTGGTGGTTTTAAAAGAAAACCAAGAGGCAAGCCACTATTTATGTATTGATGTTGTTTCTTTTTGGAGGGTGTCCCCTAAAAAGGGGCAGTCAGAAGGGCGAGCGTTCATATTGGGGTATGTGCCATGAAGGTGCTAGGAGGATCCTTTAACGGCGTTGTGTCCTTAAGGCTACGCTTTGTGGCTTTCTCGGAGCAAGTGGAGATGCAAGCTGAGGATGCACAGTGACCTCGCCGGCTTCACATGACTCAGATATGAATTCGAAGATTTGATGGGTCCGAATGATCTGGGAAGTAACGCTTGCGAAGGCCAGTTGAAACCAAATGGGTCCCCGTCTTTTTTCGGGGGCCCCCCCAAAAAAATATATATAGAACAAAATGTGGTTGGCCTCTTGGTGTTCCTATAAAAAACCACCCAAAAGCCCTCCAAAGAGACACCCACATGGAATCCTCTTTTTGTTGAACATTCTCTTTGGAGACGGCTCAAAGTCCATGTGAGCTTTCGGGACCCTGGGCTCCCGTGGGTTTTTTTCGGCTTGGGAATCCCAAGGCCCTTTTGGCGGAAGCCAGGAGGTTGCATCCGAAGGAACCTCCCCCTGTGTTGGTTCTAGCTCTAAAACCCTTGTAAGAGGTTGATGAAAAAGAAATACAAACAAATCACGCACAGCAACTTTTCCACTCTTCGACATTTGTCAACTGATTAGAGGTTGACAACCCCGAAGAACAAAACCCGGAGGGCCCTCACGTTGCCATTCGTCTGCTTCTGCCTCAGGTGCGACGTGGTAGAGAGAGTGGAGCTTCTCCAAAGCGACATCAGCCGCATCATGAACGCCCTCGAAGTCAAGGGTCGCTAGGAACCCCTTGGATCCTGTGACGATGTCCTGGACCTTGATGCTTGGGAAGACCATGTGGGCGTGTCTTTTTTAGATTCGGTACCCCACTTTTGGCGGTCTTGAAGGGAAACCCAAAGGGAAACTCCCCTCTCTGTTTTTTTTTTTTGGGGGGGGGGCCGAATTCTAAAACAGTGGAGCCGCCCATTTGAGTTACAAAATGTTCAGACTTGTTTTGGCAAATGGCAGTGAGTTTTAGAAGTGCTACGGGCCAGGTTGCGCAGGGCATGTGCTGGACCTGCACCTTAATTCGCCTAGCCGCCCGAATTTGGCGACGACGGCAACGTTCCGCTGCTTCCAAGGAGTGGCGGTCGTGCCAATGCCAGTCACAGACTTCCAAGACAAATGGGTATGGGTCAAAATTAAACCACCAGAGGACCGCAGGTTTTAGTCCCACGTTCTATTTATGGGGGTTCCATTTTGGGTGCCTATTTTTGATGCACAGCCAAATGACACACTGAATGGAACAAATAATTCGCCCTTTCTGCGATATCAAAGCGGGATTCCCATCCCATGACTACTACTTTCTCACTTTGGGGACCCCCTTGGCCATTCACAGAAGGTCGCACTAAGGAGCCTTTTGGGACCTGTGAGCTTGTACAGGCTGTCAACCCCGCACTTGCATTTCACAGAAGTTGCTTAAGCCAACTTCTCAGAAGACAGCATCATTTGGTTGGAATCCTAGCATTTCCTGGGCAAGCTATGTCTTTGCAGATTCAATCGGGAGTTTCTCAAAATGCTGCCGCAATTGGTGTTCCAAGGTGAGCCAAAGGGAATGTATGGTCTTTGTGCTTGTGAAGTGGACCATTGGGTGTGTATTGTTTGAGGCTACCCACTTTTGGGTTTGCTTTTCATAAACCAAACGGGGTGCCGAAATCCATTTGGGGGTGCCAACCGAAAACGACGCACCCCAATTTTGGTGGCAAAGACACAGTTTCTGACCTTGTTTGGCGGATCTAGATGTCGTTCCCTGACAAAAACTTGGGAGTCGTAGGTTGCTCTCATTTCTGCTCCGGGCGTGAGCCAGCAGGCTGCAAGCCTTTCCTCCAAGCTCAGGATACATGGGTGCTTCTTAAGATAGGAATCGGGCCCCTGAAATTGCAACGGCCACAGCCGAACTTTTAGCCCTTTGGTTTCCCTGATTTGTCTACCATGTTTCAAGGTTCCACCTTCTCTTTCAGGTCCGAACAGGGCAAGTGAGTGAGAGTGTTCCTTAAATCTAACCAAAAGTAGGAATCGTGCCCCTGAAATGGCAAAGGGTTCGTTCCCCTTTCAGTTGTCCTCAGTCACCAAAGGGACCATGGAAGGAAAAGTTCCTGTTTCTGTGTACTTTGTTGGTTTGTGGGTACCGTTTCTTGGGGTGCTGAACTTTGGACACCCAAAGTTGGAAAGCCACGGTTTTGGGGTTTCCACAGAAAGATGGGCCCCATTCTTTTCACCTACCGGGTGGGTCTCCTGTACTCTCAAGCGGATGTTTGGGGGAGGCGGGGGTTTTGGGTTCCTTGCAGCGCCACCTCACTTCCTGAGTTCCTGGACTTCAGACTTTTCGGGTGACCCGGGTGTGGACCTTCAAGTAAACAAACAGGTTCGGAGGGGTCCCCTTGTAGTCGCCAACTTTTACCGTTTCTTTTTTGGGGGAGGGTTCGGGACCCTACTAAAATAGAAAAAAGGGGGAAAAAAGGTACTCTGATTCTAACCTCTCTACTGGAGGACCTAGAAACTGGTTAGACTGTTTCTGAAAAATCCACTCAAGTGAGCCACTGACAGGGTAGATTTGAGGATGCCATTTTAATGGACGCAG